TAATACTGCCCAATTTCATTTTTATAATATTTATAATGTCATATGCAAAAAATGTGATTCTGTCAGATATGCAGTTAATTCCAACCCACATTTATTTGCATGGAAATAGAATGATATTCAGAAAGCACACCGGGGTCAGGTCAAAAAATCAGGTAAATATGGCCTAGTGCAAACATACATATATATTTTTCTTTAGTAGGGATAGAGGGCAAGATTTGCAAAAGGGTTGAGGGAGATAACTAGAACTCCACAGCTGTGACTTTGACTTCCTGGGCTCTGTACCACCAATAAATAGAGAGGCACACATGGGCTGAGCTGATGAGTGGATATCAAAATCAGGTCTCTTTTCATCTCGAGGTTTTGAAATTAGCACTGCTTAAATACAACTCTAAAGCAGTCTGGAATTTTGAGAAATGATATATTTCCATTCTCAGACTATTCCATACTTTAGGTAACCAAGAATAAAGTAATGGAAAACAATATTAATAATAAAATATGCCACTTAATGGTGCGTTAACATTGTGCTACGCATTTCACATGCATCAATTCACCTAATTCTCACGAAAATTCTACAACTAAGTGTACTTCTCCATATTTTGCAAAGGTAAAGATTAAGATTCAGATGCGAAGTGACTTTTCAAAAAGATCTTGCCTGTCTTTTCACAGCGTTCAAAAAGTTTAAATTTGAAATAGAGATCATATGGTGCAGTGCTTTTCTAACATTTAGGACAATGTTCACAGCAAGAAATACATTTCACATGGTGACCTATTTCACACATGTATCTGAAAAATGTTTTACAAAGAATTATTGGCTTTTACCATGAGTGATGAGTTTTGATACTTTTCTATGCCATTTTTTCCTATTCCACTTACTTATTTTTGATTTAATGCTGTTGTCTTAAAATATTGAATTGCTCTCATAACCCACAAATGTAATCACTTAATTATTTGCTTATTTTATTATTTAATATTCTCCTCTTATTTCTTTCATTCCCAAAGCAAACTAGAATTTTCTTGAAGGCAGGTATTACCATATTACATCCCCTCATTGGCGAAACAATATATGTTTGTAATATAATAAATTTAATTTTAGCTCTGAAAATTCATAATCTGGGTTAAATAGAAGAGTCCATGATATGATTCCCAGAAAGTATAATAATAAGGGGTAGGAGATACAGGTCTATAGGGGAACCAAAGCAACTTGTGGTTATAGCTGTTAACATTGCATTGAGAACTATCATTCCTGTATATTTTATTCAGTTCTTTCCCACCATAACGTTGGTGTTATTAGTTGTTCAAATACCTAGTCTTCTTCTTTGCTTCATAAAATGAACCTCTGTCCAGATATGTGTGGTTTGAACTCCAGAAAATAATTTATACAATCCACACGTGGGATTAAGAAGCATACATTTCTTCTATTACATTTTAGCTATTTCAGAATGTAAATTTCTATAAGATTCATTCAGATGTTTTCACATTAGAGAAAAGTCTATTCCTTAATTCATATTTTTGTCTTGGGAAGTGATACCCATATGATTTTTTTATGTTTCTATCAACTTTAAATATGAAATAGTTTGTTTCTAAATTTTAGATAAAGTGTTTTTTCTTTTATTGCTTGAAGGCACTCATATCCTATATAAAACCTTTGTATTAATTTTTGTGGACCTTTGTATTACTACCACTTAAAAAATTAAAAAGAAATATAACATCAGGTGGAAATTATATATATATATAAAATATTCATTGTGGGTATCATGAGAATCATATGGAACTAAATGCCTACTTTCAAAGCTATAAATATAGTGAAATTCTTTAAACCTAGCATATGTTGCTTCAAATGAGACAGTTTTGAACAGATGTCCCCTTAGACCTGATATATTAAGACTAAAATTACTAAATCAGCATTAGTTGTTTTTAAACTTAGAGCCATATTTTGCCACTGATTTTTATCCAAAGCTCCCACAGGCGTAAGTGGAAGATCCATGCATGGAAAAATGGCATAATATGTATCCTAGTTTTATTTATTTCATATGTATACAGCAGTATAAAATAATATATTACATTTACACTCATTTTACTTAGGTATCATTATAGCATTCACAGTAACAAACACTATAGTTAAGATTTAAACTCATCTTTTGTTATAATACCCTGTTTTCACTCACAGATAACTGTCTCAAAAATGTGTTTAGAGCTGAAATTCCCTGCTTACTTTCAGCTCAAGGATGTATGGATGTATTGGAAGTCTGAGTTCTATCATTCAGAAATTTTTGAGTCTCATGAAAATTCAATATTTTTGCATCATTAATGCATTATTTTCATGCAACTCAAAAACATCTGGAGTGTCAAACTTCAAACTGAGCATGTGACAAGTTTTCAAGAAATAAAAGCCATTTTTCTAATTTTACAAATACTTAAAAAATAGCAGTGGTTAGAAATACATGCATGCACACTAAAGGTATTAGAATTTTAGTCATATTATTGCCTGCAATACTCTGGCGGCACCCATCTACCAGCATTCTCAAAGAATGCTATAATCTAAAACCTATGCCAAGTTTTAGAAGAAAACAAAAATACTCGACCGAACAGTAGTTTCACAAATTACTCTCTAAGGATTTTTGTTTGACCTATAGCAGAGGGATATTCCTTGAAATGCTAACAATATATAAAATAATTTTACTACTTCATGGCATAAAAAATATGGAATTTTGTCATTTTCCGTTTTTCCTTGTTAAAAAGGAACATAAAAAGGATGTTAAGTGCAAAGCCTTTACCACTACAAAATCAGAGTTGAAAAAGATAAATAACCCAAGAAATTGCAATATGAAAAATATAAGATTTTCAGAAAAATTATCAAGTATATTAATGTTTTCAGTATTTTTGAACTCCTTGAGTATTACACACACACACAGAAGTATAAAGGGGAGAAAAAAACCACATGCAATGACAAATAACCAGTGCTATTATCAGTCAGTAACGTGAGTAATTTTCTTTATCCTACTTAACACTTGCAACATTCTGACTGAATAATTATATTAAAGATGAACTTTACTCCAGTAAATAACTTTTGGAAGGTAAAATGGTACAATTAATGCACAGTTATTAAAGTTTATGTCAAAAATTGTGAGGATTATCTTTCCACCTCTTACAGGAGATGCAGGAGGGTTTCTACATAACAAACGACCCGACAGCAAATTATAACACTATTAAGAAATGAAACAGGAGAAAAAGTAATTAAAATCTTTAAATCTTCTACCATAGCACTTAATTTGCAATGTTTGATAAAGGCATTGCATTTAATATCTTCATAAAATAAAATATGCATATTTCCTTAGTATTTATCAAGAAAGATGATACACTTATAATGATGCAGACATCATTATATCTGTAAAGTAATTCTGATGTGATATTTAAATATTTGATTTAAAATGATGTCACAAAATTATGTTCACAAGTTAAAAGTTAGAATTTTACATACAGATGGAATATTTCTAAAAATTTTCATTTGACATACCTCTGAAACATCAAGATACTGTTTCCACAGAAAAATATTGACTTTTTACTACTCTAAAACTAGCCATGTTAACAAGAAGTAAATGTCATGATTATTTTCTGAAATAATTCATTGATGAAATACTGTCTAATAATTTGGGTATTATTTTCCTTTGATATGTATACAATTATGGAAGATTGGATATTAGGATGACTAGATTAATTATAAAACTTATTCTAAAATTCCTTTTCATACAAATCTCACAAATGTTTGTTTGAAAAACTTCATTATTGATTGGTTGCATCTTTCCATCTCAAGGTTCCCCTCACTGGGAGATAACATTTTGATAAATGTTTAATAAAATCGTATCCTTACTCTGTTGTAACTTCTGACTTATTCTGGATGCAATAGATACATTAATAGCTAATCTTTTACTATTTTTTGTTTAAATAATTCTATTTATCCCACAGATTAGGTAAAAAAATTTTTTTTTGTTTTTGTAGATTGATGATAAAATTTAAGAACTAAAATGCAAACTAGTATAACAGGTTACTATATTAAAAAAACAAATAGACAAATATATGATATGAGAAGTTGGTTCAAGGGAAATTATACACAATGATATAAAGGATTAAATAATTAAATAAAATTTCTTTAAGTCAAATGAATTAATATAGCTGTTACATAGGAAGTGAGTATAAACTTATTTTCAGTGCGTGTAATAAGGCAGATGGATATGTTTCCCCCACAACTGTAAAATGGTGAGTGAAAAGTTTTAATTAAAACAGAGTGATTCAACAAGAAAATAATTTTCTTGTTTAAAAAGCAGTTAAAACCAACAGACTTTTTTCTAGTTAAATTATATAAAAATGTTTCCTTACTAAAATAGTCTATCATTCAAAATATTAATGTAGTAATGCCAAAATTTTAAGAAAATTTTACTGCTGGATCTAGTGAATGTGTGTGCTTTATGTGTCATATGTGACAAATTAGCTTCATTTATTTTTAAAGGGTCCCCAAAAGACTGGAACATCACACACATTACTTTGATATATAAATTGGGATTATGACATATTAATGTCTAATCTGATAAGAAAAATGAGTGATACCAAGATATCACTCAAATATACACATCAAGGACCTAGGAATATATGTATGCATTTTAATGTTAAATCTAGGAAAATATTCCCATTTAGATGACATAAAATTAGGTGGAAAACATTTGTTACGTGCTAAGTTTAGTCTGTTCTTTAATAACATAGCATGATTCAAACTATCATCGAACATAAGATCCGTTAAAATTAAGGGAAATATTTCAAAATCACTCTGCAATTTGGGTTTGGCAAACATTTAGATATAATGTTGAGGGAGTTTTTAGAGGGGAACTGTGACAGATCTGGTTTTTGCTTAGAAGATTATCACATCCTCTGATTTTTCTCTTTCTTAATTGTACTTCAACAAGCAACAAACAGTATAATAAAAGGAAAATATGTAAAAGAAAGGAAAATGCATCTTACTGAATTTAATAATTAACCTTGTTGACATAAACATAAAAAGCAAACTTCACTTTTCAAGGCCCACTCATGAAGAATTTTCTCATTAATAAAACACTGACTACACTTAAGCTATAAAATTTTCACATATAACACTAAAAGAGTAATGTACCATGTTTCTGTCTCCAAATTTATGTAATTTGTTTTAAATTTAGAGATCCTTTATATCTTATAGTTATTCTTTACCAGTTCAGATTATTTATGTACCTCTATATATTCATATAGAGTTATAGATTTTATATGCATGTGTTATTAGAAGTCACGAAACTATGTAAAACTATGTAAAATAAAACTTTGTGTGAATTATATGATTGAAGACTTCATTTAAAATAGTAATTTTCAATTACATATTTTACACCACAGAATGTACAGACACACCCAGTGTTGTTTTTTTTTTTTTTTCTAACAACAGATACAGGTGAATTTATAGATTCTTTATAAAATCTTTAAGTGATTCTAAATTCAAAGCCATAGAAATAGAATCGAAATAATGTAGATTGTTAGATATTTTGATAGTACATGTTCAGTGCTCCTCTGATAACATCGACAGCTATATCTTTGGCATTGAAAATCAGTACGAGTTCTTGACAAAATTTTGCAGCTTAGAGCTTCATTTTCTTTTAAACAAGGAAAAACAGGGTTGAATAAGATACAAAAACTGGAAGGAAACTATTAATGATTATTTTTTTCTTAGTAAGTTTATCTTTGGGACCCTGAATTACCTTTTACTTTATTATATGATGTGGACTGTATGAATCCATTTAAAAACCAACTAAGTTGTACCACATTTTAGGAAAATTATATAATATAATATATATATTTTATATTTATTTAGAAGCTTTGAAATAGTACAGTAAACACTTTGCAACACGGTGTATAAACTACAGAATGTCTTTGATATTTTGTGGGTCTTCAGAATACAACATTTTTTATAACCCACAGGTGAAAAGAACATAATCACAATCTCTCTTGTAAAGTTGGAATAGTTTGGGGAACACTTGATCACACAAAAATAATATAAAACAGTCAAGTTTAAAACAGTGATATTGCATTTATAATGCACAAATTTCCTTTATCTTTATAACTGGCTTCTCGTGGTGAATATAAACATCTAAAGGGCTCAGTGACATTTGGAGAGAGAAAGATATATAGTGCTGTAAACAGGCACACACTGATCGGAGAGGCAAAATCAGTTGCCTAAAGTTTCTACAGTTCTGCACATTTCAACTCATTTCTCAGGCCTGCTGAGAGCAATTAGGTCCTATAATTGGCCGTAATGACTCCGCTGGCAATCTAATACTCAGTTACACACAACTAACTGGATGGCCAAGATAATGAAGTTGAAAAGTTGATGCTTTTGTTGGTCGACTTTGTGCAAATCACGCTGCTTCAGGTAAGTCCTGTAGAATTGACTAGCATATCCTTTTCCGTGCTGTGAAAAAGAAAAGAAAATTACTCTAAGAGAAACAGCCTGACTGTTGATGTTTAGAATTGCACAGCATTGTAAAAGAAGCAAATACGGCTGGAAACAAGTTGTATCCCCCTACCAGACCCAGGTAGTGGCAAGATATTTCTGTGTCACCTTGGCTTCTAATACTCACAGTCATTCTGTTGTTTGGGTTTCTGAAAATGACAATTTTGACATTTATACAAATCAGTTTTGCATGGGAAATGTGAGCTTTATATAACAACCCTCAATTATGCGATTAACTTTTTAAAGTTATCTACAAAACAATCCCTACTTCACTAATTATGCACAATCAGCATAGAGGAAAAGTTTGTGGTCCTTACATTTCTAGAACAAGTCTTTAGAATATCTATGATAAGTGGTTATATATTTAATTTAACAAGCTCTAAGTTACATGTATTAAATCTACATATAATAGGAGAAAACTGTACCAGGAAGTGTTCATGTAGTTAAAAATTAAAGGTTGATTCACATTTTTGAGGTTTATTTTGTCTAATTTTTTTAGAATTATATAAAAACCAAATCTTTTTATGGCCTATAATTTTGTAAGGTAAATTTATCCCCTGAAAGGAATCAGTTTTCTTCTAAGGTGGGAATAGGCGAAGGGGAGAAAAAGATATTATTGAATGTGGCCCAGTCTTATAAAATGAATTATGAAGCAGGATGTCCAGATTCAATCACTCAGAATTTAAGATTTTAAGTATTTTATTTATAATGGTAAAGGATATTTCTTCCCACCTATTCATAATCTTTGTAATATTTGACCATGAGCACAATGAGAACAGAAACTGCATCTCCTAGGTCAGTATCTGGGACATAAGAGATGTATAATACAAATGAGCTAAAAATCAAGATGGTTCAATTGTGATTAAAAAACATATATATGTGTATCTCATTAAAAAATAAGAACAACATTAAGTAGCATAACTGAATCGTTTCAAACTGGTGAAAAGTTACTTTTTTTTTTTTTTTTTTTCTATGAATGTAAGAACATGCTGATGAGTTCACTTCCTCTCCTACGGTATTTCCACTCATTTCAACTAGATTTTCTAGTTATATATTTTCTTAATTTATTTTCCCTGATTCTCTCATTTATTTTTCCACACAAACTCAGTTTCTGACCAGACCATCAAGCACTTCTTCATTAGTTCACCTTTTAGCAAAGATACATCAATTAAAATTGTAAAAGTCAGGTACCACCACTGATAGAAATCAAAGTGAAAATGAATATATACATCTTCTGTGTAGTAACCAGTACTGACAATAATCAAAACATATTTTTATAATATCATATAATATCATGAATTATAAAATGAATTAGCTATAACAGGGGACCACATGGTAGCTATTATAACTTACCTGGTCATAATGCTACAAAGAGTATTGTATTATTTAAGCAAATAGAAACTTCACTCTTTTAAAAGAATCGAATCTTATTTTCCTATGCCTTTGAATTCAAATTCTCTGCTTCATGATAAACTTGATAAATATGAATGATTTACATTTTGTTTATATCAATCAGGATTTAAAATTCTCAAGTAAATTAAAATATTTAGCCTTTACAGAAACTCAGGTTTATAAAATGAATTGGAACAAATAATTATAGTGATCAAATAACGTATTGTCTAAACTGAACAATTGTGTAGCTGAAAGGAAGCATTATTAATAACTACACAAGGTGTAATCTTGCACTTTTCTGGACAACCCAGAAAATATCATCATCTTACAAATAATATAATTTTTTCAAAATAAGTTGGAGATATTACTTACAGTTTGAAGTTCTTCTTAAACAGCATAAATCAGAAACTACTGATTTTTAGGAAACATCATTCTACTAGTTCAAAATAAAAAAGAAACTCAGGAATGACCTATACTCAACCTATAAACTAACTCATTATGTGAAAGAAATGAATACACTGAAAAGCTACTTTTTAGTGTATATGCAAAGATTAGTCAACCTAACACATGTTTAAATGAGTAAAATATTTCTAATTAGGTTAAAAAATTACTTATAAAATAAGTTATTAGCCTAGATATTATATGTTCATTTGATTTAATTAGGATACAGAAAGAAATCGTGTTATTAAAGTGGTTCACTGTTACAAGAACACAGATGTTTAGCATATAATATACTCAATATCTGAAATATAAACACAAGCTTAAAAGGTATGTTTTATTACTGCTTAGGCTTACATGTGTGCTGCTTTTATTTAAATTGCACCTATTTCAGTAGTTCTCTGAATAATATAATCACCTTTCGTTACATTTACCTCTTCCCATCTATCTGTTAAATTCAGGAATGCAAATTTTAATAGGACAAGTTTAAGGGCTGAAGTTGAAGGTCAGAACAAATTAGAATGGAGAGGGAAGATTTCATTTATTTCAAAAGCTAATTTCCTGAATGTTAAGGATTGCTAGACAAACTAGAGAAAATAAAATATATTATTACTAAAGTTACAGTCATATACATTTTGTTTCAAGGCTTTTTTTTTTTTTCCCCCCACGGGCCTAGCCACTCCGCGGCATGTGGGATCTTCCCGGACCGGGGCACGAATCCATGTCCCCTACATCGGCAGGCGGACTCCCAACCACTGCACCACCAGGGAAGACCCCTGTTTCAAGGCTTTTAAAAGGTGAGTCTGAATACTGAAAAATCATTGTTCTTTGGGGGATATATGGGTTAATGTTGGAAGTAGCACACAAATATAAGAGACAAATTGACGCTATTACATTTTAGAGTCCGTACCAAGGACAATTATGCCACAGTATTAACGATTATGGTCATGCATTTGTTAAGCATTTCAGGCTAGAGAGTATGGGTCAAATACATTGAATCTTCATGCTTTCTGATGTATTCTGTACATGTTTTGAAATTTTCAAAGCATAGTTGGAGAATTTCTACTTGTTCTTTTCATTTCGCAAATGCATTTTTCCTTAGCTATTCATCAGCATGTATAGGGATTTGGTTACTTGATATGAATAAAATATTTTATTTTATTTTATTTTATTTTTTTTTGCAATACGTGGGCCCCTCACTGTCGTGGCCTCTCCCCTTGCTGGACGCGCAAGCTCAGCGGCCACGGCTCCGCGGCATCTGGGATCCTCCCGGACCAGGGCACGAACCCATTTCCCCTGCACTGGCAGGTGGACTCCCAACCACTGCGCCACCAGGGAGGCCCTAAAATATTTTATTTTCATTCAAGTCAAAAGTAATAGAAAAAGGACTATTAGCATTCCTTTTTTTTTTTTAACTATGTCAATTCTTCCTTAATTATATGTTTTAAAAAAGCTGTACTTATAAGTATTTACAAAATATATATATTTTGTAGAATTACACATATTTACTTTAAAAATTCAAAAATAAAATAAAATTCGTTAAAAATTTAAAATTCAAATAGCACAGAAAAAGCCAAATAAGAATAAAAGCACTCAAAAATACCCAAAAAACGATAACTGCTGCTAACAACTTTGTGACTATCTTTCCAGATACTGTGATTCCAGATTACTGGAATTTTATTTTATTTGTTTGCTTGTTTTTACCTCTATTTATTCATTCACTGCATTTATTCTTCAAAGTGAGTCATATAAATGTTACATTTAACACATTTATCTTACTGCCTGAACTACAGATGAAAAATTACTATTAATGGAGAAGAGATTCAAATATCTACCTTTTATAATTTGGCATATATATGTGTGTATATATTTAACATGTATATGTATGTATATTTTCAGCATATACATACTATTTTAATGAAAGTTCCATGATGCATATTTTTCCTTATACTGTGGAATCGTGTTACTGCCTTTGGTAATTTGTAAAGTCTGATATTAAACTGTTGGACATTTAAAAATTCTGATGAATGACTTAAGAAGACTGCCTGTAAATATGTATGTTGCAAAAAATAATTGAAAAACATCACCAGCGATATTCTATTTCTTCAACATACTATAGTTTACTAAAAATCTGGTGAAAAATAATATTGTATAATATATTAAAATGACAATTTAATCATTTGAATATTCCCATTCCTCTACTTGCGTAGCAGGAAGCATAATACTCTTTATACTTTATGACAGCGTAAATCACAGAAGCTAAAGTAATAAATAAAGCTTATGAAGTGATCTGATCTATTTCTGCCACTGAAAGAAAGAACAGCCTTCAAATACCCCAGATGATGGAGACTCTCCACTACAGTGAAAAACTTCTAGAAGCTGAGATCAGTAAGCTACTCGGGAAGTCATTCAAATGTTTCCTGAGCCTCAGGGTCAGGACACTTCTTTATGTATAAAGTGAACCTACAGTACAAGAGTTTAAGCCCATTACCCCTTGTAGGAGTCAGAAACATCTACTCTCTGTTCCCTGTGTGAAAGCACATCATAAACTGAAAGATCATTTAAAAGTAAGCCCCATTAGAGATCTGTCCAGCGAATAATCAGTTCTTTTAACTTTCCTCTGTCTTATTCTTGAACCATTTTTGAAGATTCTCTTCAAAAATGTCTCTAAAGAGTTTTTTTTCTGTTTAACCCTAAAGTTCTGAGATGAGCATAGTTGTGTTAACTATTAAAATGGGTCGCTGCTTTGTCTTCAATCTTCCCACTTGAACGCCCTTATATCTGCTTTTATTTTTTTAATATAGTTGCATATTGTTCATATTGTAAGTGTTTTCCTCCTCTCAAAAAATTACAAAAAATATTTGAAATTAAATATGTATATAATTTTAAAAATTACATGCTATGGTTTATTATGAATTACAAAGACTGAAAGCCTTCTGTTAGTATAATATAGATTGTCTCTCTGTCTAATAATAGTAGCTCAGAGCAATATAAACTTGCATTCTTATATTTATTTCATAATGTTCACAGCATATCCTCATGTTAAATTTCCTTTCATCAAACAATACGCCTTTTTATTCTAGTTTGACAGAGATAAGAGATTATAGAATATATCTAGAAAGCAAGAG